AGCTGGTGTCAGCACTCTCCCTCTGGAGGCCAGCAGGAGGTAAGGATCAATAGATCAGTATTTTTAAAGAACTACACACTTCGGTTTTCTGCTGAGCAGTGACTCTGTCTTAGGTCTGCTGAGCGTGCCCAAGCCTCCTCAGCAGCCACCTGAGCTTGCACAGTGCAACAAGTAGAGGGGGGAGCAAAACAGGAAACCTGCACTCCTAGGTGGGTTAGATCTTTCCTGTCTTTTTCCTTCTGCAAAAACCCAAAAGTTTCTAAAACTATATAAGAAATTGAATTTTCCAGTATAGATAGAATATTCATCTGCAACACCAAAGCACCAAAGCCAAGACCCTGTTCTTAATCAGAAAGATCAGAGAATAGAAATTGTCTCCTACAGCTCAGGAAGAAAGCCTGAAATTTTGCTACTTGGATTTCATGGAGGGAAAAAACAAGAGGGTCTTTTCTTTCCTTCTTTCCTTTTCCATTCTTCCCTTTTCAAACACGTATTTTGACCTACCCTTGTCTCTTTATAAACACCCTCACATATCAAACAGCTCTTCAAAACACAAATCCTCTTGCTTTGTTCCTCTGGACACCTTTCATTTTTATGAATCAGTATTTTCTAATAAAAAAAACAGATTCTTATTTTGTTCCCAAACACCTGCTTAAAAATACACTTATCTTTTGACTGCAGAATAACTTAACAATAAAGTCTGAGATACAATTCCCCCTTCCACAGCTACAAAAAAAGCCTGTTAAGACTGTGGCAAAATTTATAGCTTATGATTTCTAGGCCAGTTCTGTTATTAACAGTCTCAATTTCCTCTCCTTAAACATACTAACACAAACTGTTCTTTTGGCTGGAAAGTGAGTGAAGAAGAGAGCAGGCTGTGGCATTTCCTTCAGATCATCCTGTCTCTGTGTCAAAAGCCTACCTTTTTTCTCCTGCACCAAATGCAATGAGTTTAGAATAGCTGAATACATGTTAGAGGAGAAAAAGCTCTGGATTTTTACCTTTTCTTTCAGCATACTTTCAGAACATTTCTTGAATAGACTTTTGGATTCATTAACGTTTCCAAAGATTATTTATTGGCATCAGTTTGAGGCAGAACACAAAAAAGAAAAATGACCTCTGCTTTTCAATTACTATTAGGGGATAGAGGAAAGAGAATGAAATTTTCCTTAAAAGTATATTTCTAGGGCACAGCTTGCCTGGCTTATGAAGACAGCTAAGAAAGTTCTCACTTTGTTTGAACTGATGTGTTTGTGAAAGTCTCATTTCTCCTCCCACTTCTTCTTTTCTTCTGCAATGTCCAGTCTTGAAAACAAACTGACAGATGTTCTCTTGGATCAGCTTGTGAGACTTGCAATGTCAGGAGTGCAAACAGATTTTTGCTGTTTAGTTCAGGAAATGAGATGCAGAAAACCTGATAAATAAACAGTGTTTATTACTCCAGTTTAAAGTGTGCTTTGGATTTCTTTTCAAAATACTCCTACGAGGAAGTGAGGATGAATATTAAACATAATTTAGAGACCTCAATGGCAAGATCAGAGGGTCTTTAACTTACACAATTTGTATAGTTAGGTTATAACAGGAGTGATTGTTTCTGGTCTTTAACCATACTAAAGAAACAACAAGAAATTTGAATTACACAGAAATTCACTTCAAAGAATTATACAATTGACTCCAAAGTCACTTATAAGACTTATGAATACACCAAGATGAATTCGAATAACAGGATTTAGGACTCTGTGTGAATTGGAATGCATTGTGATTTTTATAACTAAGAGACACACAGAGATTTAAAGGGATGGCACATAATTACCAAGTATGGATTGGGCCAAGACAGAGTGGAAAATATTCTTCTACTCAAGCAGTTAAGTATGCATTTTAATGGTTATGGGCTCATAAATTTAGATTTAGATAGTACTCAAATGGCACTTCCATTATCAGCATCATCTAGGTCCCCAGAACAGCACTAAAACATCATTTAACTTTTAATTCTGTGTAATGTCATGTGCCACCCTTTTACTCTGTCATGGCTATGTGGCCTACACAACACAGAAGAGCACAGCATCCATGGCTCTGATGACACATATGCTGCCAGGGACAAGCAGGAACAGCCAGGGACCTGACCTGCATGTATGCCAGGAGATGCAAACAAGCAAGCACAAAAGGACAATTAACTTCATAAAAAGGCAACAAGAATTTCTTTCCTATTGTGAGAAAGAAAAGAGGAGAGCTCAGAATGCAGTAGGTGAGTTTTGGAGATAACTCCTGATATTCTGTTGAGAACATGATGACTGCATGCTCTGCTGTCCTTTAGGACCTGCAAAACACAATTTGGGCCTCAAGAGAGAAAACGGAGACCCACTGAGTCACCAGTAACATTTGCTGCATTGCTTTGGATTTGTCTTGAGGCACCTCCCTTCCCTTCCAGCTCTGCAGTAAAGCATCATTTCCACCAGACAGAGGTGATTCAGAACCCATGAAATGCTCATTTTTCTAAGGAATGGAGAACAGTTACTGAATGAGTTATGATCTAAACAGCTTTTAGTGCTACATTTGAATTCTGAATGAGTTCAAACTCTAGTGAAAGGTGTTCAACAAGTGTCAACAGAGCCAAAAAACTTTACTCACTGCTCCCAAGAGGAACACAGCCAATACTTGTTGTGAGTTTCATTTTTATTCCTAACCTTACTCTCTGCATGACTCTTTTATTTGGAATAATGAGTTTTGGGGGGAATGTATCCCATACTATGCCTATGCTTATCTGAGACAAATAACTTCATCTGTTATATTTTGACCACAAGACACCAGTTAGTTAGCAGGAAACACCTCTCCGATTTATTTATTTTATTTTTTCTAATCCTAAATATATGAGATGCAAGCTGATGTGAACTCATTTTATATGCCAAACTCTCTCCAATAAAGGTGGCTGTATTTATCTGTTGATATTCACCCTGTTTTCTTATATTGTGTCTGCAGTCTCCAAGTGTGACTACAGAGATAACAAGAGGAATCCAACACTAGTAACAGCAGTACTTCACAGACTATTTTGTATTTACTACTTTGTAATTTGAGAAATTTTTCCCAACCTCTTTCTTGTAACTGTCATTATAAATAATGAAAATATTCACCTTACCTACACACAGTGCTCTTGTTTCCTTCAAATCCATGTTTCAGGCCAAACACTTTTCACTTTTAATAGTCTGTTTCCTTAAAGGGCAAATTTATATCAAAGCACTGACATTTTTCATATTTTACATACTGCACTATAAAATCATTTAGGTAAACCTTACCTTTTCAAAGTGTGGAAAAATATAAGCTACAGCAAAATCTTACAGTTTTTTTATCATAAGATATGCCACATCTTTAGCTATGATGTATACCTTTTTCTTGTCATAAGTGAGACTGCTGCTGCTTGGAAAATCCAGGCTTGGACCAACTCTGCCCCTGTAACAGAGGGAACAACAAAACACTAGCTCACTAACTGTAGAAAGGGATTCTGGCTGCTGCCTACTGCATTCAAGAGGTCCTTAATTAGAACACAGTATGGTGATTTCAACCCTATAGACTGATGCAGCTCAGTAAATTGTGCCTACTTAAACCTTTTTCATAGGATCCCATCAGAAGGCCTGAGGTAATACCTTGCAAGACTACATGAGTTTTATCCCTTGTGTGAAAAAGAGGGAAAGGGGAACTGCAGGCAGAAGTCAAGGCTGGATGTATCATATCCAAGAAGTAAGACTTCCAAAATTTGGTATAGTCCCTGGATGAGCTTTGTCAAACATCCTTCTTCTGAAGTCAGCTTAACTCTTGAAAGCCAGCTCAACCCATACTTGGATTAATTAATTTCAAAGTTACGCCCAGAAAAAGTTCTAATTACCTTAGAGCAAAAGTGAGTATTTTCTTAATAAAGATGGTATACATGAGCAAAGTTTACTCTGCATGTTATGAAGGCTGTGAAGGTGACTAGTTGACAGAGCTCAACAGATGCTCTCTTCCACCTGACAGTCTTACTGAATACATTTAAGAATAGATTATAAAAAGCCCAAACCTCAAATATTAAGGCTTTGGCATTACGTCCAACTACTATTATAGAGAAGCTGCCAAATCTTTTGTGGAAGCAAATGACGGTGGGGAGCCTTTGGCAGCTGGAAAGTACAATGTTTAATGATGCCAAGCAGAACAAATGGCTACAAGGACTATGTTCAGCTAGTTGTGCCTCCGCTCCGACACCTGCAAAGAGGGATTAGTGCCCAAGAGCGTGTTTAACATTGCAACAGAGACCAAACTAAGAGAGGCCAAACTTGATTACCCTTCGGTGGCAGTGGCGACAAACTAACTCCCTTATTACTGCTGACATTAAAGGAAGCAGGAGGGAAGGCAAAGCGGCTGCCGGCTTTCTGCCCCCGAGCTCAGAGCGGTCACAGCGTTCAGACGGAACAGATTCGCCTTTGTTGATGCCACGTCGGGCACCCACAGCCGCTGGTGTCCAGCGGAGCGCCTCACGCCAGCGCTCCCCGCTCGGGGCGGTGATTTACCAGCAGACGGGCGGCTCTGCCCCGCACGCCCAGATGAAGGCAGCGGAGGGAGCGGACCCTCCCCACTCTGTCCGTCCGTCCGTCCCGCCCGGGGTGGAGCCTGCCCGCCCGGGGCTGCCGGTGCTGCGGGAGGCGGCGGGCCCGTCCCACATATAACCCTGCCGCGCTGCCGCCGCTTCGCTTGCCGCTCCGCTGCCCCCGGCGCTCCGTGCCATGGCTCGGCCCCTCAGCCCGGCCAGCTGAGTCCTGCGGGGACCGAGCCGGCCGCGACTCCGCGGGCCTGCGCTGCGGCCTGCCGCCCTCCGCCCGCTGCGCCGTCCCGCTCCGCCCGCGGCGGAAGACGCTGTCCTGCCCGAGCGTGCACGAAGCCCGCCTTCCCCTTCCCTCGCCGCGATCGCACCTTCCCGCCTCCTGCCCCGGGGCCGGGCGGGCTCGCACGCCGCTCCGCCGCCGCTGTCCCCGCCGAGGATGCGGGTGTCGCTGCTGAGCCCGCTGCTGCTGCTGTCCCTCAGCGCCGGCCCGCACGCCGCGGAGCTGCCGCTCGGCCGCGCCAAGTGCCCGGCCCGCTGCGATGTCTCCACGTGCCCCAGCCCCAGCTGCCCCAGCGGGTACGTCCCCGACCGCTGCGGCTGCTGCCTCATCTGCGCCGCGGGCGAGGGGGACTCCTGCGGCCGCAAGGAGGACCCTCCCTGCGGGGACAGCCTCGACTGCCGCTACCCCATGGGCAAGCGCTTCGCCAAGGGCGTCTGCCAGTGCAAGCTCAGCGCCCAGGTGTGCGGCAGCGACGGCCGGACCTACGACAACATCTGCCAGCTGAAGGCGGTGAGCCGCAAGGCGCTGCAGCACGGGCTGCCCGCCGTCGCCCAGGTCCAGAAGGGAGCTTGTGAATCGGGTAGGAGCATGGTGGGACCTGCCGCGGGGCGGGGGGGAGGGAGAGAGACCTGCCTTCCAGGGTGAAGAAAGCCATGATTTTCCCTGGCCTGGGAAGACTGGGTGGCTCTAGGGACTTTTAAAACCTCCAAGGATATGGCACCTCACCCAGCTGCTATTGACACCTGTGGTATTGCGGAATGGATGCTCAGGTGCTTTCCGAACAGCAAAACTCCTCGACACGCTCGGTGTGGGCTTGGGCTGGGGTTTGGGAAGGTTTCCCCGGCAGCGCGGCCGTGGATGATGCCTCGCTGAGGTGCAGGTTGCTGCCGCAGTGCTCCTGGGGCAAGAGGCCGTCGCACTCGCCAGGTGGGTGGAGGTCGCTCGGCTGCCAGGCCAGGGCAGCGGCCGGGTGCTCAGCCCTGGCTTTTCCTGGAGGCCGGGCAGCGGCCGGGTGCTCAGCCCTGGCTTTTCCTGGGGCCAGGGCAGCGGCCGGGTGCTCAGCCCTGGCTTTCCTGGAGGCCGGGCAGCGGCCGGGTGCTCAGCCCTGGCTTTCCTGGGGCCAGGGCAGCGGCCGGGTGCTCAGCCCTGGCTTTCCTGGAGGCCGGGCAGCGGCTCCATCCCGCTGCCGTGCCGCCAGCGCCGCCCCCGCTCAGCGCGGCGCTCGGCGGCGCTCCCCGCGCGGGTCGCGCAGAGCGCAGCCTGCACACACAGCCGGCCAAGCGCAGCCTGCACACACAGCCGGACACGGGAGCACCTGAGCCCCGGACAGTCCCTGGGCCACTTTGGGGTGTTAATCACATTGACCCGACAGGCGAGTCAGAAAACCCCTTAAAAGCCCATCAGGGCAGAAAAGTCTACTACTGAGTAATAGATAAACCACCTAAAACATAGTCTTTTGCCTTATTTGCTTTCTTGGCCAAAGGGTTTTGTAGTCTTGTAGAGCCCCTAAGTAGGGAAAAAAAAAAGAGCCTGAAAATCTTCTTTTAGTGGAAAATATTGATATTCAAGCTATCAAACGTTCTTGTGGTTGTAGTAAAGTTGAGGCCTTTGCTCAGATCCTGTGATATGCTATGATACACAACTTCAGGCTTGGTGATTTAACTTTGGAAAGTTTAGTAATCTCTTAAGCTAGTAATTTCCTTTTAGTATTAAATGTGTCTCTTTATGGAAGTGTTAATGCTGGCAATATCTTTCCACATACTTACTGATACATTATTTTAAGGGTTTGATTCTGCTACATTTCCCATAGAGTTCCTGAAAAGAGAGAAATGCTATGCTTAATGCAGTTTTCAAACATGCATTAGAGTTTCTGTTATGTCAGGTGAACTCCTTACCATCCTGTTCATAGCAGTCTGGCCAAAATGATTGGGAGGGTTCAGAAGGAAAAGGGGTACTGTTGCAGCCTTTCAGTTACTAGGGGATCTTTCTTATATATCCTGATCTTTGGAAAGGGTAAACCAGTTCAGAGTGGGAGTATATTCAAATTATGTTCCTGGAGTTCCTTTCAGAGCATCTTGTCAGAGCCAAGAATTGTTTCAGATGCTAGCCTGAAGCTGCAGTGTTCCATTTTGCCTGTACCTTTTCACATCAGCATCTGTTAACTTTAGTGCTCCTAAAACTTGGTTGAACCTGATCCACATGAAATAATCAAAATGTTTAACCAAAATAAGTGAACTAGCCAGCATCTGAGAGCTTGGCGAGTACTTGGCATTTGGTATATATGACATTTTCCTTAAGGAATCTTCCTGAATCTAATGTTAATAGGCTTAGGAATTTGGAGCTGTGAAGCAGAACTTTCTTTTTTTAAAGCAACTATTTTAGTGCTCACTTTATTTTAGCTTTATTTATTTATTTTTTTTTTGTCTCAGAAAACCTCAGCTTAGCTGAAGCATCTGGTTCTTTGTTAAGATTTAATTTTTTTATTCAGTTCTACAGCTGCACAAACTGAAGCTCAAAGAAACCGAGTGTCTTGCCCAAGGTCAGGCTGAGTTGGTGGTTGAGCCAGGAATAGAACTCAATTATGGTATTTTTTTTGTTTGGTTGGTTTTTTTAAACAATAACATGTTATGGCTGTAATGAGAGGCTTGGAAGAAAGTTGACAGTTTAAAATTGCTGTAAAATTTCTTTCTCCTGTTCTTGCCTGGCCTCAGATGACTCAGAGTTTGAAGGGATAAGGTAGTTATGAAGTAAGTGCAGTTTTACTTTACCATCCATATATTAAAATTATCTCAGATAACAGAAGCTTCACATAGTATGACTAGGGCCCTATTTAGAACATGCAGAGACCCAGAGTGGCTCCTGAAATGTCTGCTTCTCTCCTTTTTCAGTTGCTTATATTGATGCTGAGTTGCATTCTGGCTGTGATAAGCCCAGACAGGCTGAGAAACTCTTAGGCATGGTTTCCTTGTGACAGCAGTTGGGTGAATAGGGATGCATGAAACATGGGTAGTAAAGGATGCAGGAAGGGAGGAATGAGGTGGCCAGGGTTACTGAGTAATAATCAAAAAATTAACAGAATTTAAAATGTTATTTTCCTTGATTTAGTCCTGAATTGGGTTGAAAAGCACCATACCAGATTGCAAGTTCTGCATGCAGTGGTCCATAACTGATGCCCTGCAATATGCCAGTGCCCAGGGGCTTCTCAGAGATACTAACAGGAGTAGTCTGCAGAAATCCTGAGCAAAGTTAAACTCCCTGCTACAAATACTGGGGTTTTTATAACTTTTTTCAACACTAGGTACCTTTAGCTATGGGAATACATTGTGAAGCAGCTAGGTTTTTTTCATGCCTTCTGTCACTTACTGTGATGACAACAAGCTATTACAAGCTAGCATGTAAGTAATGGAAGAAATACTTATGGAATACTTACTCTCTGTAATCAAAGATCTAATCTTACAGATCCCTTCTACTCAGGGCAGCAAGTGTAAGTTTTAACAATGCCACATATTAATCATCTCAAAGGATTCACTTGGTCACCTGCCATCTACAGTCCATCTACTTGTTTCCGTGTTTCTTGAACAAAGGATTGTTTTTGATCTCTCAGTACAATTTAGCACAGTTAAATTCCCTGCAAGGTTATTTTGCAAATAGCTTCTGTGAAGAGTGTTCAAATGTCAAAAGATTTGTATTTTCTTACCTAAAATATGGAAGCAAATTTTTTTTAATACAGGTGCTCTTTTGTCAATAGAACAAGGAAAATGAAAACTTAGAAAAATCTTTGAGGCTGGACTTGACACCATTTACTGTCCTCTGCACTGTTAACCTGAATTCACTCTAAGAATGGGGTCATGATGTTAAGACTCATCCAAGTCAGTCAGATCTTTGCAAGATAAGAACCTAAAAGTTCATTTTCCTAAGAGTGTTTGAAACACAGTTAATTCATAAGTCATTGCACACAGGTGTTTGGAGTGTTCCTGTACATGACCTTGAAGATACAGAGGAACAACTGAGTGTATGATTATTTGCATTTCTGAGAAGTTGGCCCAGTAAGGGATAGAAGTCTCCTGCTGGTGTTATTGCCATCAAAGCCTTAAAGCTGCCTGCAGCTTTATTTAGGGAAATGTACAAGGTATTAGCTGGAAACACAAACTTTGGTTACATTCCTGTACTGCCTGTTTTCTTATGCCTGAGTTGCTTTGAGTCACTGCAGGTGAGGATGGATAGTGCACAGTACTTGGTGTACAATTCAGAGTAGAGCACTTCACTGCTTTTTAAAGGCTAGGTAACAGGAAAAGTATATTCTTGTTGCATGTCATCATGAGAGTTGCTTGGAAGGGAGATATAGCAAGCATATAAATCAGTGTGGTGTCTGAGCTAGAAGGCTTGTGCCAGCCTGTTTGTCTGGCCCTTGTGATTGCTGCATTGCACAAGAAAGCCACTTTGGTGTTGGTTCACCAAATTGTTTTCATCTGTGCACACTAGACATCCATTGTATAAACAAGTTGCCTGAACCATAATGTGGCATTAAACTCACCAAGACTTTATGGTCAGTGCACAGCTATGCAACTTGATCTTAATGCTGAATTCATCAGAAAAGCTGCCCATGAACCTATGTTTCCAGCAGATGTTTCTGTTTTTTAAGCAGAGACATTATAATCTTTTATTTGTCTTTCATTTCTTTTCATGAAAGCACAGTAGGGACAGTGGTTATCCCTGGTGATCAGATCTGCCAGGTTGCAGTCCTCCCTTAGACATAATAATTTTGCTGAATGCACAGATCTTTTCTGAAGCTGGCTTTAAAAGGGGGGATGGGGAAACAACCTTAAAAAAAAATTAGTTTCCCAGGCTCACAAATTCTTAATGAATATAAAAGTGTGGATTTTAATACAATGTATTGTCTTTAAGAAAGCAGTGAGTGTGATTTGATTTAATTCTACAGGGACTAAGTTGGCAGATATTCAGAAATGTTCAGTCTTTTGCAAATGTAAATTGGTCTGGTTTTATTGTCTTCAGTGGGATTATAATGATTATTTCTGCTGATTTTTTTTCCAGTTCTCTTCATACTAGGTTAACTCTACAGACTTGTTGGCATTGTTCCTGGTTTACAACAGTGTTAATGAGATTGATGTGGGTCTGTTGTCTCTGCAAGAAAGTAAATAAACCACTATTAAATGAATGCATAGCCTGTAGGTAACACTACTATCCAGGAAAAAAAATCTTAAATTGATAATAAGTCTACTCCAAAAGGCACGTAGCTTTAGCTATTTAAATTCAGTGTAGTTGGAGCCCATAAAATTTGAAACATAAGATCACATTTAGAAAATAGGCTGAAAATCTTTAGCTCCAGTTTATGCACTTACATTGCAGTCTGGATTTTGAGTATTCTGCAAGGGGAGCTGGAGACCTGAAGATCTAATCACTTAGTTGAAATTATAGGCTCAAAGTTCAAGGCTGCTGACAATCTGGTAGATTTGTGGTTATGGAGCAGATTGGGGAAATCTAGTTTTTTTTTGGCTAAGAAATGCATAGACAGTTAAGGACTCATGCAGCATAAATTTGGTTTTGTTTCAAATACAACCTGGTTGCAGCATCTTTGAAACTTGGTTATACAACACATGGCTAATTGGATCAAATTATGTTTTTTTGCCAAGAGAAATTAGATTTTGTTAGTGTGATATGATTTTGAACTCTCAGTAATAACATGGAAAATAATGCAGATTATTGAGTGACCTTTGAAAAACTATGTGGCAAATTCAGAGGGTCATTGGGTCAAAATCTACAAAGGTGCTCTGAGCTCAGAGCTGTTACATGCTCGGGGCAGCAGAGATCTGAGGGCTGTGTGGGGCTCCACAAGGCAACAGTACTATGGAGGGGAGAGATACATATTTAACTTTCTCTTTCAGTAAGGACAGTAGCAGCAGCTGGAGTCTACCAACTAATGCAAATTAAAGGATGGATTCTACCTCTACAGTTGTAACACTTGTATTCAGGATGACATTATACAGTATACTCAGTGTTGGATGTTGCTTCCTTCTTCAGTTTCCCAGGCTTCATTTCCTCCCTTTTGAAGTATATTGAGGTCTTCTGATGAAAACCATCAGTTTAATAATTTTGCACTAAAATGCTGTTAATAACCAACACTTCAGTTCCCTTAAATAGTGCTGTATGTGTGGGAGTAAATGCGAGTGTGCAGTTACACCTTCCACATCTGTAGTTTGAGTTCCTGGCACATCATATGTGTTTAATGGTTCTCATCACTGCCAGCTTGCGGAAAATTATTCAAGAATGATCAAGTTCTATGAAAGCATTTCAGCTTTGTAAGTCAGTTTTCACCAGTGTTTGGTCCCCAACAGACAAGAGGAAAACAGCTCATCTCTGATCAGCCCAGATCTTTGGGCATGCCTTTGGTACAAAACCTGGGTGCCTGTTATTCTTGAGCCTCCTTTGTTTCAGATTTCCCTTTAATATTGGTGCAGATCTGGATTTTCTTTCAAGTTTTTGCATTCTTGTCTGCTAACCCCAGCAGGGAGGTTCTGGGCTTCTGCTCAGGCAGAGAAATGTTTTCACTGTTGTATGAAAAGAAGAAAAACATTGTTTCAATTTTAGTCTTCTCTCTGTATTGCTGCATTTTATTTTCTTCACCTTTTTTCATGTTTTATTCACTACCTCTTTCAGATACTTTCTCTCTGCCTCCCCCAAATCGTACCTGGAAAGCCACTGCCACCCATAATGTTTGCCTGGTGGCTGGTCAGGAGTGGTCCAGACCTGAGGTTTTTGGCAGGCATCTTCCTGTGCTTGTGGCCATGCACAGTGCTGTGTCCATTTGGCCTGGGCAGAACAGTTGAGCACTCAGAAGATGCAAATGGGTTTAGTTGCCCTGATTTACACCAACTGAAAGGCTGCATTCATCCCCGGTTCTTCCCCAGTTCTGTGCTGGTTCATCAGCTGCTTTTCACTGATGCGTGGTCATGTCTGCTAAGGTAAACATGATGGCAGTGTTATATCCTGTCAGTGAACACTTGCTGTGTAGGCAAGTGTTCAAAGTCATGTCAGTGGACTTCAAAGGACATACTGCATAATCAGGCAAACTGCTTGGGAACTGAAGGTAAGATAACTCTTCAGTGGCTTAGTAAGCAAAATAAATAACAGTATATTGTGCTTACATTTGACTGTCCTCTGTGATTCCTGTTTGCCTTGTCTCTTTTAAACTAAGCATTAAAACAAGCACATTCAATTGACTGGAGGGATTCTTCAGTGTGTGTGAGAATGTATATAGAAATAATAGACTGAACCTAGTCCTGCCAAGCTGTTCCTTTTGTTTATTAGGTATCACATAAATCTAACTTTCTAAATTTAAGCAGCGTTTATTTTCATTTAGAAGTAAATCCCATGTCCAGTAACAGGATAAAGAACTTAAAGATTTTTGTGAAGAAATTCCTAATCTTCTTGGTCTGATTTCTTCAACTCATTTGCTTCCTTTGGTAGATCACATAGTTAACTTTAAAGCTTCAGTCTGTGAACACAAAAGGTTGTTATTTGAGTGTGGTGATACATCCCCTATCATATGCTTTACAAGTGTGGTGATATGACTCTGTATCAAGGATTGCAGAGAATATAACATTTAGCACAAACAGTGCTATTCCTTTGGTATGTTGTGATGCTAGAATCCAGGATGCTGTGGGCTTTCCCTCCCCCTCTTTAAGATCTTAATTTCCCAATATTTTATTCACTCTTAATGAATGCTGTGTATAGTGTTGTTTAATGTAGTACCATACTGGCTTTTGTCAGACATTTTAGTAATCTTTTGCTAGGCCCAGCTGCATGTGACAGCTTAAATGTGGATTTGCAGGAAGTTTTAGGTGCAAAGTTTGTAATTTAAAACAGGTTTCTAATATGTCTACTTAAAAAAATTAGAACTTGAGTTCAAATTGTGACTCCCAAATTCTGCAGCTGTGATACTCGGTATGTGCTAGACCACATCTGGAATACTTCATCCAGTTTTGGATCTCTCAGTACAAGAAAGGCATGGACAAACTGGAGTGAGTTCAGAAGGTCATGAGGATGACTGGGGGAACTGGACATATCTCCTGTGAGGAGAAACTGAGGATACTGAGCTTGTTCAGCCTTGGGATTAGAAAGCTTCAGGAGGATCTGAGAGCAGCTTCCCTGTGTGCCAGATCTATCCAGAGGTGCATAATGGGAGGATAAAAGCCAAGGGGCATGAGTTGGAACATCAGCTCAATAAGTTCAGACTTGATGTAAGAAAACCTCTGCATCATGGGGAACAGTGAAGCAGTGGGACAAGTTTCCCAGGTAATTTCTGGAGTGTCCATCCTTGGAGTTTTGCAAGTCCCAGCTCTGTTTCCCTTTCCTCAAAGCTGATGCAGCTTTGAGCAGGAGGCAGAACCTAAGGTCCTTTCCAGCCTCACCTATCTTATGATTCTGTGTGTTTTAGATAATAACAAGTAGTTGTCCTCAGAAAAGTGCTCAAGACAGAGCTTGTAGACTTCCAAAGAAAAGAACTTAGAGCTGAGTGTTGCTGATGTTTATTTTTCTCAGGATCACACAGAATGCTAGGTAAGTTTTGAACAATCTTAGTGATTTTAATTCCTTTTCCAGTACTGTTTGGAAGCTGTTCTAGTAGGAGAAACAGACCAGTTGATAAAAAAATGTATTGTCTTATTAACATATCCAATTCTTTCTGCTAGTATAGGTCACCTACAGTCCAGCAGCCCAAGATACAAATTCAACTTCATAGCTGATGTGGTGGAAAAGATTGCACCTGCAGTTGTGCACATTGAACTTTTCCTCAGGTAACACTTTGAATTCTTTTAGTTACATTATTTAATAAAGGTCTACAATGTAGTAACTTTCCTTTTGAATTTCTGAGGTTCACAAAACATTCTAAAACATTACAGCAGACCTGTTTCCCCAGAGAAGCACACATATGTGGGTTTTGTTCCTGTTCATTAGGTCTATTCTAATGGGTTACAGTACTATACAATATATGCTGTCTACCCTAAAATAAGTCTGTCTCATCTTTGGAGGTCTCTTCAGCCTTCACTAAAATGTTTTGCTTGTTGGACTGCATTTGTTATCTCAATTTAAATACATACATATATATGTGTGCGTGTGTGTGTATTCAGACGCTAAGCTGGAAAAAAACATGTACTAAATTTCTTGACCAATGCATCTCCGATATTCAGGATGCTGAAGCTGAACCTGAGCTGGCAAGATCAAAACTGAGTGCTCAAAACAACCTGGGAGGTTTAAATATGAGTCCTCAGAACAACCTGCTTCAATTACTGCAAATATTGTATATACTCCATTATGTGAATACCTTTCTTCATGGAGTTCTCTCAATTTCCACAGATATAAGAATTTATTGGAGAATTTTTATAGGCTTTTTTAATATACAAAATCAAGACAATCAAGTATATCAGGAGGCACAGTTTTATGCACATGGTGATTGGTCCTTTGAGAGGATGTTTTAGCTGAAGATGTTTAAGATCTTGTATATGTATTTTTGCACTGATTGTTTTTTCATTCCCTACAAGTAAATGTTTGCCCAGCAGCTTGCTGGGTGCTAATTTTGATACTACTTTTTCCTGGGATTGGCTCCTATTAGTTGTTTACATCTAAATAGCTGTTAATTAGCTGTTTACTGCTAAATAGCTCAGAACTTTCAAATAATATTCTAACCAGGACCACGTCTTGGCAGAAAGATTTTTTGGTTCTTTTCTCATCTTCTGCTACACAGGCACTTTATGTTCCCCTAACAATCTAAGATCATTATAGCAGTTGTTCACAGAGAAAATTCATAATGCCTTGAACAGTGTATAGAATCTTTTATCTGTCTGTTTCGCAGCACATGTTGTTTCTCGCCAAGTTTTACCCTTTGTTAGTGTTTTTGATTTTTTCTTTCAAATTCCCAGTAATTTTGGTTTCCAGACATGCTTTCGCCACCCACTCTGCATTTGGGCTTCGTGATCCCCTTAGACCTTGTCTCTTCCTTTATGCCTCTGTCCAGCTGCAAGGTTCCTTCTTCCCCTTTTCCCATTAGATGATCAGTTTATTTTTAGCTTTATTATTTCCCTCTTTCAGTATGTAATCAATAATCTGTGGGATCAGATGTGCTCCTCCTTCCTTTTTGTCACCTACCCTCTGTGCAAGGAAGTTTATAAAGACAGAATTGGAAATCAAAGGAAAAGGATCCTGCTGATTGTCTGTAAACCTCATTTCCTATCTCCCTGACTGACTAAAACCAGTTACAATTTTCAGTAAGGGATCCTTTCTTTGTAATTTTTTTAAAAAATTGATGCTCAGGGTGAAAGGTGGTAAGTGATGTCTAATATAATCCTCTCTTAAGTTGGTTTCCCTTATGACACAAAATTGCTTGCTTTTTGTACAGGCACCCTCTCTTTGGTCGGAATGTCCCCCTTTCCAGTGGATCTGGGTTTATTATGTCTGATTCTGGTTTAATTGTGACCAATGCTCACGTGGTGTCAAGCACAAATGCAATATCAGGGAGACAACAACTGAAGGTACAGCTCCAGAATGGAGATACCTATGAAGCGACCATCAAAGACATTGACAAGAAATCTGACATTGCAACAATAAAGATTCACCCTAAGGTGAGTGACTTAGGAGAATGCCTTCATTTGGGCAGTTTGTTTCACTTAGTACAAAGTGATTGACTAGAATATATGATTAAGGATTCCTTAGAAAGATCTGTGCAAAACAATGTACTGAAATACAGGCCTGGAAATTTTTTGTATCTTAGAATTAAATTACTTTGTCTTCTGTGCAAGAAACTGTACAAAACGAAGAAGAAAAAAAATACCACTCATTTAATGCTTGGCAAAATTGTGCTATATTTATGTAAATAACCAGGCTAATCTTTCAAAGCTTTGTGCCAGTATGCATGGACTGCAAAGTGGGCATAATGCATAGGGAGTGGCAGTCAACAACTGGTCAGTGGTTGGCTTTTATGCTGTTTCTAGGGGGAAGCAACAATCTGCTGGAAAACAGGGAAATTTTGATGCTCTTTTCTCAGTGAAATTGCAAGGAACTACAGATAGCTGTTTGTTTTTGAAGACAGTTTAAAACAGCAACCCTCCTAGCATAAGTTTTGGGTATAGGATAGTGAGTGGTTTTTTCATTAATGTAATGGAAAATATTTGTTCCTAACTTTTTGTTAATTTTTGATCTTTGCAATCAGATTAAGTATGATCTAATGCTTATTTCTTTCTCTTTCTGTTTACTTAAGAAAAAACTACCAGTATTGTTACTGGGACACTCTGCTGATCTGAGGCCAGGAGAATTTGTGGTGGCAATTGGAAGTCCATTTGCCTTACAGAACACTGTGACCACAGGTATTGTCAGCACTGCTCAGCGAGATGGCAAAGAGCTGGGCCTCCGGGACTCGGACATGGATTACATCCAGACAGATGCCATTATTAATGTAAGCACGAGGTGTGGGATGAGCTCCACTTCACATTCTGTCCCTGCTATGCAGGATGGAAGTGCCTGCTCTGAGAGATGAATCCAGCAGCTTTGTTCGTCTTTCTCAAAACTCTATGCAGTGTCTGTAAGGTGTGTTCAGGCAGTGTTGTGAAGGCAATGATAAATAAAAGTTCTCCCACTGAGTTTGTCTGTGAGGATGCTGCATAGGTCAGATGCTTTGAATTCTGTAAATCTCATGCAGTGACATGGTTGTATCAACCCCCAGTAAATCAAAACATTTCTCTCTCTGCTTGCTGAGTTGCTCTGGTCAAGGAAGCTGTAGAATAGAGCCAAAATTTCTTTCATCTCCATCCATTAGAAGAAGGAGTAGTCACATTGAGAGTGTGTGCTTCAGTTTAATGACAGGATACCCAGGTAAGAGCATAAGGAGAGGAGTAGGGGTTTTTGTTGCTGTTCTTGTTTTCCCTTTGCACACCACATAATCAAAACAAGAATCAAGGTTGAAAATAACAAAAAGTTTGTGGTACGGTTTGGAGCTAAGGGTCCTAACATTGCATGTTATATAGAAATACATTAAAATAATGTTCCTTCAGAGCATCTTGGAGTGATCCAAAGAGCTTAAGTGAAGTGCTTTTCGGTGTGTGTTTAGCTTGTACTGCTTCTAAAAAGAGCACTGCACACATATCTGAGGTGGAAAATGGCCTGAAATTTTGTACCTTAAATCTGTTGCACATTGAAAGGAAAATATTTTCAGGATTTGTTTGCTGGACTTTAATGTCAAATTTGACATAACAAGAAATAGTGTTTTACACACACAGAGTGCTTCACAAATGGTTATTGTCACAGACTTGTTGAAAGAAATTGTGTGGGGAGGAAAAAAGAGGGTAATTATTTTTTGTGTTAAGATATGACATAAAAGTGAGCTTTTTCAAAAAGCTTTTGTATGACCCAAGAGCTGAACCTCTCCAGACATCTAATTGGAATTACTCTTTTCAGCTGTGCAAGGAGAATAAGGAAAACTTAGGCAATATGGGTTAGTTGGGAGCACACACTGAATTGGTGGTGGAGACAGAATTGAACATGGAATTCATGACTTCCTGCCTGTACGTATTTTTCAAGCTCAGACTCCTTCCTTGTGTATATACTTAGACATGTGCTGCCCTCCAAAGCTCATGAGTAGGTTTAGACAAGGATAGCAGAGTGTGTCAGATAATGCTGGACCAAAGGAAGAGTGATGGCAGATGAGGTGAGGAAAACGACACTAAGTTTGAATTGCTTTGGCATCCGAGACTGCGAAATATGAAGATGGTCCCTGGCATAAGGATGCTTTGTGCTTAGCTAATGCACTCATTTTCTCCTGAGAATGGGAGGAGTTTGAGAGTTGGTCTGTTCAGAGCATTCCTGTGGCTCAGCCAAGACTTTCCTGCAGGAATGTGCATGCAGCTGCCTTTTGAGAAATGCTGGGATAGCAGTAACATAGGGCAGGAGAAAACAGGGCCTTAAGGTTCTAAATGGAGCTGTATTGCATGTGCTGAAAGTCACATCCTTCAAGCAGGAGACAAGTGAGTGAAAGACTATGTGCTGAGCTAGGCTGAAAAATCATTATTTTGGTTTCTTTGTGCCAGTCAGACATAAAAATCACGTGTGTAGCCTCTGGTCACTGGAGAGATATGATATAAGGAACTTATCTATTTGTTGAATTTGAACGTTGAAGCTGTTTTATAAATTTTAATGTCTATTTTATTCTTGTAAGAATCTATAAACTTTGCCCAGTGTTATCTAAGTGTAAACAGTTTGTGTCTCACTTCTCTGTCATACATCACTTAGCTTTTGTTTCTTTTGAGTAGTATGTTACTGCTCTTGGCTGTTTTGCAAACCTACTTGAAAACTCTGGCCTCACTCAAAAACAAATTGTTGAGCCAGCTTGAAGATGGACAAGCAACTTCTCCAACTCTCATTTCCTGTGGTCCTGTTGCATGTTTCCTTTAAAGGCCATTAGGTATTAGGTAATTTTGGGCTGTTCAGAGCTGCTTTATGCCTTCCCTAGAGAGGGAGGATATGTGTCTGTGGTTACTAAATCAATCCTTATGTAGTAGCTACCTCATAGCAATATGCAGTGATTAAATATGTAAGCCACTCTGTTTTACTCCAGTGGAGAATGAGAGACTGACAGTGTTACAAACCAAAGTGATGAGTGAAATGAAAATTGTACAAGCACCTCACTGAAGTATAAATTTAAATAACTATTTATTATTTCAAAACCTTGTTCTGACAGGCTTTAGAAGAATCAAAATACTAGTTTTAGCTATTCAGTGTCTTAAACTCAGGGTCTGCCTATTTGGAGTGGCTCCTAACTTAATTCCTGTTTCTGAAAAAAAAAAAAACAAAAAAACAAGTATAATCATGAGAGGGGTGGAGGGATAGGATAAGACCTACTTGTAATCTTCTGTGATTAATATTGTGTCTGTCAGTGCTGCCTAAGAAATTACCTCCTCTCTTTCATTTCTGTACAAAAACAGTACTGTTTGTAAAAGGAGTTTAATTTCCAAGAGAGAAGTATTAATTTATTGTTCCCTTATGTCATTTTTACAGTATGGCAACTCTGGAGGACCTCTAGTTAATCTGGTAAGTCCATGTGGCTTGGTTTTGTTGCTTCGTTGGTTTTGTTTCAAGAATTAGTTTCAAGTGTGAGAATGTTCCCTTGGAAAGATTCATAGGTCATTCCAGCTTCCATTTGTTTAGCTAATGGTAGGCAGATAGCCTGTAGCTAATGCAGAATATGCAAATTAGGTCTCAGTAGACACACCATAGGAAAACATTGCCCCATTGAGCACAGAAAATGTTACACTGGAGTGAGGATCATCAGATCTGGAGGGAGCAGTAAGGCTGGTTCACGCTGTGGAACCTGGGATGTGCAACAGAGATGGGATCTGGCTCACCCACACAACTCTTTCAAAGTAGATTGCTTTAAATCAGCATTGGTTTTGCAGGGCAGTGACTTGTGGCTGTAGTGGTAGTAGTGACTCCACTGCCCATTTGGCAGAGCAAATGTCTTCCTGAGTGGTGGGATGGACCTTGGATGAACACACTGTACTGCAATCTCTCTGGCCATCACAGTTAAACGTGAAACGGATCATGAATCAAAGCCCAGATCCTCCCTTATAAGTAGTGTTTATTTCTTGAGTGATTACAACACTCTAAAATCTCTTGCACCAGTTTTTAACATGAAATGCTAGGCAGGGAGCTGGATCCTGTACTTAGAAACAAATTTAATTGGGTGTTGCCTCTCAACAGGATGGTGAAGTGATTGGGATTAACACCTTGAAGGTCACAGCTGGAATTTCTTTTGCTATTCCTTCAGACCGTATCACTCAGTTTCTCACAGAGTCACATGACAAACAAAGTAAAGGTAAGATCTGTAAGAAATGGGGATATCTTCCAATTATTACACTGATCCAGGTGAAGTGCCAAAAGACATGGGTGTGGGATCCTACTAGTGAATGGAGCAGCATCCTTCTCCACTATAGAGCATCACAGACTGGGAAATAGAAAACAATCTCACAGAAATAGGAAAGACTTTTTATTACTCACACCCCTAAAGAGCAGACAGTGTATATATAAATATGGGAAATAGGTCCTCTGAGAATAGTGAGGACACAGATGAATCATCACTGTCTCAAATGATCTTGAGAACAGATGATCACTTGTTTAAGGAGTTTTATTCTCCTCTTTTCATTTATTGTCCAAGCAAAAAGATTAAGGTATACTGTAGAAAAAAATTTTTAAGCACCTGTACACAGGTGGGATGTAGTCCATAGAATCTGACCTATATTTTATCATGGTCATGTATGTCAGTGCTATATAATCAGATATTGTGATAGACTTTCAGGCCCTGGTGGAAGAAGAGCTGTTATTAGTTCATGAAGAAATACGTGGGAAGATGGGGAGAGGCAGAAAGAAAGGCCTGTGCATCAAAGAGCATATAAATCTAAGTATATTGGCAATGACAAGTGCAGTACTTTAGACTGTTTTTATGTGCCTGCAACATATCTGTCACCCTGTTCTAGATGTCATACCATAGGCTGCACAGCCAAATCTGATCTCGTAATGCTGCATCCAGGCCAAACCTTCCTTACTATTTTGTTTGCCAATTTATCTGTCCACACCCTACTACTAATCTTTTACCATGAATATTGGCTGCTGCTGCTTTTTCTCTTGAATCTTTTTGTTATTAATCTTGTCTTCTCCTTAGTTCATCCAGTTCTGATGCCAGGGTTGTTTCCCTGCACCATTGTCCGCTCAGATACTGTTATTTCGAAAACTTCCCATAGTCAGCAATTTTAAAGTGATGCATCTGCTTGTAAGAGAGCATCACAAACTTGATGGGTCCCCTCATCTGTGTTTTGCTGAATTCCACAAATCATTGTTTTCACTGTTGATTGGAGGGAAGGGGGAGGAATAGTTGAAAAAAAGTTGCTAATTACAGGCTGAGAAATGCATTTCACAGTAGCTGACATAATTTTATTTCGGTCAACATGTCAAGAAAACTTAGGTATTTGCCCTGGTTACTAACTTATTGTTGGTTTCTGAAACAAACAGGTGTCTCATTAGTGCTGTTTCTCTTCAGAACCAAACTGCTCATCCCAATCCTTCGAGAAGCAATGACTCAGCCTGCAGGCCTGGCCTAGAGGCATGAACTCAGGCCTTGTGCAGAGCCCACCATCTCCTGGTAACTGGGGCTGGAGAGTCAGTCATCCTTCAGGCACCTGTACCTCCACAGAATGATGACCCCAGCTAAGGGCCCAGAGACAGCTTTGCCCATGGAAAGACCCTAGGAAAAGACTGAAAATCAAAGTCTGTACCATGATTGTAACATACAGATTTTTATTTTTAATCATGTCACATAATTCCCTGATCAAAAGGATTCACAGTTTCTCTTAGCGTCACTGCTTCAAATATCCTGGAGCACAGGAAATGTTATTTAATTTTCAATTTTTTTTTGCTTTTGCTTCTCTGAAGTACATCTTATAATTTTGCTAAGGCAGAACAGTCATTTAAAGCCCTTGATAAATAGAGAAAGTTTCAAGGAGATCTTTTCACCACATATTTGAGATGTAGTTTGCATTTTTAGGCCTTTAGTAATAACTCTCAGGTTTATTGTATAGTAGCTATTTTTTAGTATAATGAATTTATGTAAGCAGAATTTTAGGGATGTTTTTATCATGTTTTCTTCCAGTTATGCTTCAGTAGTTTCACTGGGATCCTCCCTTATGGTACAATTAGGTCATAGAAAGACCTAATTGTGAAAGTTTATGGGAATTACCATTTTGGTCTTTATATCATATTGCCTGAAGATAACACTCCCTTAGGATACCACTCTTTCCAAATCTACTCTGGCATAGCAGATACTCAATTGTTTAATAAGCTTAGTCTTTCAAATTTTAGTTGATCAGATAACTGTTTTATATAGAAGGCCTATATTTTTTAAAATCTTACCTATTATATATAACTTCTAATATCTGATCTACTGAAGAACAGGAGTGGAGAACAGGGGAAAAGTAAAGGATGTCATTTGAATGAAGAATTTGCACTAATTATGCTATCTGTACATACTATATTACCTAATGCATTGTTAATATATCTTTTGACCAAAGATTTGCCACAGCCATCATAGAGATGTTTGTCTGTTGAATGGTCTGAAAGCCTTTGCTAATTTTGGGGTTACCAGTAAAAAGGTTAATGTCCTTTTATAGTTAGAAAGTCTTAAATTGCTTTGTGACGTTAAGTGTCTCATCTGTAGCTCAGTTTTAACCAGCTGTATATTCTTTGTTTACATCTGGAAGTTAACTACATGCTTAAGCATGGATTGATTTTATTTTTTTTTAGATTTCTTTTTTTAGGAATTTCTCCATTTTGGTCTTGGATCTATCTATTCCTAGTTTAGACTTGAGCAAAACAGTAAAATTAGAAAGTCTTTCAGATGCTTTGAAGTGGAGGCCAGTAAGTCAGCAATTTGAAGAAAATGTGAGAGAGAAAATCCATCCTAGTAGGTCAGCTTGGCCTCTAACACTGTCAGCAGAAAAGTGAATAGGCCTTGTTTCAGATGGGCAAGGGGAAATGGGGCAGTTCTGTCTTGGCTACACCCAGCATATCATTCACATGAATCCTCATTTTACATCCCTAGGGCCTTGTATTAGTTGTGTTGAACCAATATTCTTACCTTTGTATTTGAATGATTATTACCCATAACAATTACCACAAATCATGAGGGTTGCTTAGGAGCCTTGCTGAGTATAGATTCAGACCAATGATTAAATTCAGCTATGCAGTTTATATGAAGGGGACACTGCAGACAGACCAGCATTATTGGTTTGAGATGTTTTCTGTTTGGCAGTAGAATGTTTCTTAAATGTTTTCAGGGCTGTTCATGTAATCTACAAGATGAGCTAGGTGCAAAAGAGATTAGCAGAAAAGTAGTTTTGCCTGGCACTTGAATAAGAAGTGCAGGATCCATTTCTTTACTTGGAAGTCCTGGTGATATCCTGGCCCCCACTGAAATCTGCTATTGGGTATAATTTTGTACCACAGTTACTCAAGCCCATAGATGTTTGAGTATGTGACCCCTTAATTTGGATTTGTCAGTTCTTTTTATTACAGTTTATAAATCATAAACATTTCTGCCTTCAATTGGTGTTTAGCTGTCTGGTTTGTATCTCTATTGTTGCAAGCACCAATAAGTAAAGTTTAACAGTAAGGCAAGTGCTTTCCTTACTGTGGAACAGGAATTTCTGGGAATAATGAACTGCTTCTAGATACCTGGGGTCAGCTGCTTTTGACTTTCTATTAACACTAGGCAGATTCAAGTTTAAACTTGTGGTTGAGGCTGGTTTGCTTGACTTTGTACCTCTGGAATCAGTGTTTAATCTGGCCTGGTGTTTACAAAAATGAGATTTGAGTCTTTCTCTTCTGTGCTACACTCCAGCTTTAGGCCACAATAGTTTCACATTTGCTAAATCTGATTATTTTAACATATGAATCTTCTTTTCACTAGTGTTGGGACTGCACCCTTGTGATGTGCTCCTTAGATTTATGACATCACTTTATTCCAGATCTCCTAATTATTTTTTCTTTTCCCTCATGATTGCATAAATTGCCAGAATGAGAGGTTTTGAGACTTTCTATTCACAGAGTAGATGTAATACGACAGTGGTAGTTCCCAGTGCCACATACCGTCCCTGGCAATGTCACTTAGCCCCAGAATCACCATGCCTATAACTTTGGGAATTTTAAAACAGCAGTCGTGGTTGTCTGTGCCTGTTTAGTCTCTGCTGTTACTTCAGATATGGACAATTATATTCCCACTAATCTTGGTTGAAAACTTTGGTTTTTGTTGAAGGTGTTTGATTTGGGTAAAATTCAGTGGACTGGACTTCTGTGAAAAAAAAGGATTGAATTTTTTTTTACTTGTATTCTGACTCACAAAATGTCTGGAAAGGGGAAAGAGAGGAGTGTATACTCTGCTGCTAAAGTAACCTGTGGCTCATAGTTTTTAGTTTTACTTTATACAATAGCCTGCTACTCTTGTAGTATGAATTGCTATTTGCAGTATGGCAAACTTACTGCAGAGAGAGGGCAAAAGGCCTTTTTGGATTTCAGTGTGTGAGCAGGAGTGAAATAATATTTTGACCTGCCCAAAGTTGAAAGTAGGATTAGAGTTTTGGTTAGGAATAAGTCTATAGTTGCAAGATATATTTTTTCCCTAATGCTTTATGTTTACATGTAATCTTTAGCCACTGCAGAAATAATTCCCTTTATCACTAGTGTAATTTCTTCTGTGGCTTTTCCTTCTTGCTGTTCTGTTTCTTCCAAGTCAATTTCTTTTGTCTCTTCTTTCATTTTTATTTTTCATCATGTAAACATCTCTAACTCAGGCTCCAGATCATCTTGGTGCATCTGCAAATTTCTGCCTCACAGACTATGACCAGCATCAAATTGTTTAATGCAAAGAGAATACTGTCACCACAGATGCTGTCACTGATCTTACGAAAGGAATTTCATTAACTGTCCACATTGCATGGACAAGGGGATTATTTTCAGGCGGGAGAATTATCATGTCTGAATATTTTTAAGAAGTGAAAAATTACATTTCTGCCATGTGGACTGGAGGAGCACTATGAGCGAGTTCACAGTCATGCCCAAAGCTCTTCAGACTTCAAATTTGAGCAATTGAACTTCTTGACACTCCTACTATAGCTGATTTTGATCTTTCTGTTGTCACTTTAAAATAGAGGAGAGCCAAACATTTCAGGGCAAAGTAGGAATGGATGACAGTTATGGATGCCAGATTTTTCAGAGTGTAGTAAATCCAATGTTTAGTAGTCAACATTTTCAGTGACCCCAGTGGGAATACTTGGCATGTGTAATATTCAGAACTAAGTCCTTTGCTTGGGAGAATTTTTCTTGGAAAGAGTAAGAGCTAGAGAAGACTGTGTACATCTCCTTTTTCCTCATGGAGAAACTCAAAGATCTTGTTAAGTTGTTGTGCTGGAACAAGTAAGGGGGATATTGTTTCATCCTGGATATAACTGAGTACTGCAGCATTCACTGTAGGAAGTCATCAAACTGCATTTTTTTCATAAGCCAGCTGTGCAGTATCATGACTTACTAAAAGCCAACTTCAGAAATGTGGTGTTCTTTGTAAAGGAGTGATTTCTCACCACTTAAAATTCCAGAGTCCTGGCGAATCATAGAATTATAGAATCGTTTCTATTGGAAGGGACCTTTAAAGGTCATCTAGGCCAATCCCTCTGCACTGATCAGGGATACCTTTTATTGCATCCAACCTGACCTTGAGTGTTGACAGCTGGGGCATCTCCCACTTCTCTAGGCAGCATGTTCCAATGTGTTACTATTCTCATCATAAATTCTTCCTGATACCTACTGCTAATCTGCTCTCTTTTAGTTTGAAACCCTTGCCTTTTGTCCTGTCTTATAAGCCCTCTTTAAATACTGAAAGACCTCATTAAGGTGTTCCTGGAGCCTTCTCTTCTATAGGCTGAACAACCCCAACTCCCTCAGCCCATCTTCATAGCAGAGGTACTCCAGTCCTCTGAGTATTTTTGTGATCATTTTGGCAAAGTTCTACATGTTTTGGGGTTTTTTTAAACTTACTTTTTATCCTTTGGGGTAGAAATAAGCCATTTGCATTATAAACAGTGTGAATCTTTTGATTGCCCTTTCTCTGAAAAGTGGAAATTTAGATTTGTTTGGATTCCATTTCTACATTTTAAGAACAATATCATATGATTAAATTGTCTTGACCACTTACAGATTAAATAGTAGTTGGTTATGAAATTTTCCATTTACTGAATTTGTGATACTAAATCATAGCAATTTCCTGGAGGAAAAACTCTTACAGCATGTCAGTGAGCTTTCTCTCTTTCCGCTAGTTGCAGAGAGAGGGATTGTCATTGTGTACACCAAAGCTAATTAAAAAAAAAACCACTTTAGTACAAATGTGCGTGACTTTGTTTAGTTTTGTTAATTAAAACAGAACTTAACAGATTTTTTTCAGCTATTTTGGGTCATCAGAGCAGTTATTTTTGCCAGTGTTTGCCTAAATTTCTTAAATATCCTCTGTGTTCCTTTCAGATGGGAAGAAACGTTTCATTGGCATCAGAATGTTGACAATAACACCAGCGTAAGTATCTTAGAAAGGATCTTCATGCATGCAAGGTGTGGTCAGCAGTGGTTCATCTTTCTTTACAAATCTCCAAAGATCCAGAAATGGGCATTGGCTTCTAGGAAGTCTGTGGGCATTTAAATGATATAGGTGAAATCTGTGTTCTGAGACCTGGAAATTCTCTAAATACTGATAGTAGTGGATGTCCTGCTGAGGGAAAATGGGAAGAGCCTGAACACAGATTTTGGTTCTTGACAAGGACACCTGGAATTACACCAGGTTTTAGGTGGTATTTAAACAAAATGGTGCTTTCAAGTGACTCTGAGTGCCAGTGGACCCATCAGCTGATGCAGGGTTGTTTGTTTTATCAGTGCCAGTGGAGGCCATATGGTGTGAGGTTTGGTGCCTAACCATGAACTAGAAAGAGCTGCTAAAGTGCCAAACTAAAGCTTTGTGTCTCCATATTAACAAAGTCAGAAATGAACACCCTTCACTGGCCCTTTACTATATTTTTCCTCTTACATTGCTTTATCATCTTGCTGTTACCCAGGTATATTCTTGGATAATAAATGAGGGCTCTTATCCTGATGTTCTTTCCCAGCAGTAGGCATGCTTCCAATGTGACAGTACACTGCAAAATTAAACAAGACAATTTCCAGCTGGGGTTGTACTAAAGCCATCTTTTTTCCTTGAGTTACTCTCCTGCAGTCCTCCCTGATGGGTCAGATCCTCAGCTGGAATAAATCAGTGTAATGGCATTAACATCACTGATGGAGAGAAACTCAGAATGTTTCTCTGCATAATTGTGAACATGATGCGAGTTTACTGCTTTTGGAATATCTAAGGAGGCCATGTAAGGTGTCTGCAGGCCTGCTTTCAGAAAAAGACCACTTACCTTGTTGTGTTTGCTTAATTTATTCAATTGTTAGCTTCCTCAGTACTAAATCAAAGAGAAGCTGTGTAGTTATTTTGGCTTGTTTTCCCTCTGTGGGACCAAAATTTTTCATGGCAGACAGCCCAGTAATCCATCCTTGGTTTAAAATCTTCCATTCTATAAATAGATTTTAACCCACACTGTACACAGATCTGAAAATTCCCTAAATTTTCATCACAAAACAACAGGCAAATGATTGTTAAGCTTTTTACTTTTTGTCACAAAAATTTAAAAAAATTAGAATATTTATATGCTTTTGTAGTGCAATAAAATTCTGTATAACTTTGTTCTTCTTTTAGCCTGGTGGAGGAACTGAAGCACAGTAATGCTGATTTTCCTGATGTCAGAAGTGGAATTTATGTTCATGAAGTTGTTCCAAACTCACCTTCTCATAGGTAGGTGGAGCCCATTATTTTCTTCACCACAAATAAACCTCCAGAGGGATACTAGAAGGTAATATTTCCTTTAATATTCAAGTATTTCCTCATACCAGGCTTGATATGTATTTAGCCAATTGAAAATTATGCCTCAAATTAAAATATTTTTACTAAGATTTTGCTCACCTCTACAAAAATGAAGCATTTCAGAACTATTTAAATAATGGAATTGTATAGGTTGGAAATGACCCTTAAGATCATCAATTCAAACCACAAATGCAGAACTGCCAAGGCCACCAGTAAAATCTGTCCCTAAGGGCCACTTCTATCCATCTTTTAATATTATGTAACCTTCAGGGATGGTGACACCATAACTTTGATGGTCAACCTCGTGCAGTGTTTGAAAACCCTCTTTGTAAAGAAATGTTTCCTATTAGCCAATCTAAACTTTCCCTTGACAATTTAAGGCCATTTATTCTTGTTCTGTCACTTGTTACTTGGTAAAAGAGACTGCCACCCACCTCACTACTACCTTTGATGACATTATGAAACACTAACAGTGTGCAAATAAAAAGAACATCCAAAATACAGTGAACCAATTTGAGGAGTTTTGTGAAGTATATTGAATATTAATAAACAGAAACTTGGATTAAGCTTAAACAGGAAACAGAATAGCATACACATAGGGCACTGTCAGAGCTGTTATCTGAGACAGTGCTAAATCTTAAAGGAAGAGGGTGTTCTACAGAACAGTTGCAAAATAAAATATTTCTAAAAATGATTTTAGAAAGATCAAGAGCAAAAGTAATAAAAGCAGCTATTCAGGATTACTTTTGAACAGCAATAGAGAAATAATTTCTCAATAGTTTAGCTGGCGTACTTGTCTTGAAATTTTGAGGTTTTAATTTTTAATTCTTCAAATACATATTCGTGGCATAAAAGTATGGTTTTGCAAATGGACTGAGTAAAGTGAATCTATAATAGATAAAAGCCTTTTCTCTTTTTCATTTGCTGTAGTTTTTTAGAAGACATGAGAAAATTGTTTTTGTTTTTTACGTAAAAATCCTCAGTGAAATAACCTGACCATTATTTTGCATTTAGCAAGTGCCACCTGTTATTATTTCACAGCCAGGAGGCTGGAATTTCCCTTCAGTGGAGACTAAAACAAATCCAAATTTATTGCATTTGCAAAAGAGGTGGTGAATAGCCTTTGTACTTTTCCTCTGCATCTAGTGCATCCTTACTGCCTCTTCCTTGTCTTTGCAGAGGAGGGATCCAAGATGGAGACATTATTGTGAAAGTCAATGGGCGTCCTTTGCTGACTTCCAGTGACCTGCAGGAGGCTGTGATGAATGAATCACCTCTACTGCTTGAAGTTCGACGAGGAAATGATGACTTGCTATTTAACATTGAGCCTGAAGTTGTCATGTAAATAGAACTGAGGGAACTCTCACCATAATTAAACTCACTTATTCTGGAACACTAGATACCTCCTTTACAGCTACAGTAATTATTCTTCCTGTTGACTAATGACAAGGTGGACTAACTTAATTGCCTGAGCCATTTCTGTACATTGTAGCTTGAATGACTTCAAAGATGTCATTTATAGAAGATTTAGATTGCAAAGAAACTTAAGAACTGTTCTGGGGAGGAGGAGAAAAACTGATTTTGGGTAGCTTGTAGAAATGGGTTCCACTTCCTGTAGCTGCAGATGCAGAGCAGATTCAGTTCTGCATATGGGCAGATCCAAATACTGCTGGAAGTGAGGAAGTATATAAAAGAGGGATTTTTTTCTTAAACTGAAATCATGGCTGCAGCAGACCCAGGTCATTGCAATGCAAAATTGAGCTTTTTTTTTTTCCTCTTTATGTAACTTTCAATGTGAACCTATTATTGGCAAAGCTTGTTCTTAGTGCTTTTGTGCTCCATGTCAATGCAGGTAGATGAAATCTGTAAATATTGAAAGGAGCAAAAATGGTGTCAGGCTATAGAGTGTTACACCTAGGTCATGCGATTTTTGGAATATAGTAAATGATTCTTATAGAATTAATGCCTTATATATAAATCAAAACGATGTGCTGAACAAAGTTACGTTTGAGAAAGTGCACAATTTTTTAAGAATTTGATACAAACTTGTTTTGCATTTTTACTGGTAAGCTTTGCTGTAAAATTGTTACACTACTTTTGGCTTTGACTGTGTATGTTTCTACTGTAAGGAGATTAAAGTTTACACAAATAATCTGTTGATGTAAACCTCTTTTTAAACAAGTATGTTTTCCCTGCTTCTTCTGTCTGACTGGAATAAGCTCTCCCAAGAGAAAATTTTCTTAGAGAAAATTGGGCCCTGATGTTATGAAAACCCTTTGCATTCCTATAATATAGTTATTCTGCCTTTATTTAGACTATGTTTAGAAATGCTTTGCGCACGAGTTATTTATTTACACTGTGTTCTTCCATACTTACGAATTGTGCTTTGATGTCAGTTAGAGAGTATCAAATTGGGATCCTGTTGTCCTCAGCACCCTCTGTATGTGATGAGAAGCAGAAGGGAAGCACACCAGCAGAAGGGAAGCTATTTTACAGCTAGAACATGTGAGACTTCTGTGTAATAAACCCAGGAGAGGAATTGCTAAGAGCTAAATCCAGATCTCCTAGGTACCCCGAACCAAACAAGTATCTTCTCCCTTAGTGAATATTGCTTCAATTCCCAAAGAGTCAGAGGAATGTTTCTATCTGGAGCATTTTACACATCAAGCTGTGCTTTCTAGACCTGTTTCTCATGTCTTTGTTGCACTGATGCAAAAAGGAATTAAACTGGAACAGTTCCCTTGAGGTTGCCATCATGCCTAGACTTTCTGGTTATACCAGCTCACTGATGTGTGACAAGCCTTTCATCTTCAGGTTTGTGCAGTGCCAGACATGCAGAAAAGCACAAGCTGCTCCCTCCTTGCTGGCTGGGACTGCAGCTGTAAAGCTCAGAGGTGGATGGGGTACCTTCCCCTTAAAAATGAACAGTGTTGCTTTCCACCACAGAAATACGTGCCTGTAATTATGGCTTCACCCCCCTGCTGTCACTAAACAAAGAGCTATTTTCAGACCACAAACAAAAGATGGTCAGTTGTACCTGTTGAATATGTTAAGATACAGCCTTAGCATCCAGGCTTGCAAAAAGCCTGCTTGTGTTCTGAACTTAGGGTAGCTGTGGCATGCAGGCATTTCATGGCTAAAGTTCAGCCTGTTCATTCATGTGTACCATGCTAGTACCAACATTTTACAGTTTGTGAGGGGTGTCTGTTTGTAACCATTGATTAATACAAAAGAAATTAGAGTATTTCTGAATTTGTTGCTAATTTTTCAAGTTTTGGCCAAGAAATTGTTTGCTAAGAAAGCCTAGAGAATGATTATCTTATTTTACTGTAAAAGAAGCTTTTTGTCTTCCAGTTAACAAATTGCTGATTTTGAAATAAATTGCATAAAACCTCCTAGTACAGCAAGATTGGATAGAGACTGGAAGTGACACAACAGTATTAAAAATTGAAAACACTGTTGATGCTTGCCAAATGCCTTGGCTTTTTAATCAAGTCACTGTGTGGGGAGAGAAAGGCTATTTCCTTATTCATCAAAAAAAATTGCATTCTACCAGCAGTTCCTAGGTTTTGTAAACTGTCTCTGAAAACCTTGGTGAACTCACACATCACATTCAATGGTCTGCAAGTGCTGCTGCACTGTAGCAAATGTCCCTCTGAGGTAACAAGGCCAGCTGAGGTGAAAGAAAGCATTGTCATTCCCTGTGGCTGCAGGAGCATCTGTGTCACTTCAGCTGTGGTGTGACCCTTGTCTGCTGAGATAGGAGTAGACTTTATTAACTTCCACTTGTCCCCCTGACATCAGCCAGAAATGCAAAGTGTAATTACTCAAAATAGGGTCAGCATCTTCTGATGCCAGCAGTTAGCATCAAGTTTGTGACCCAAACTTGATATCTCTGTTTCTTGGATAAAAGGAAGTAAAATGGCAGGTGGTGTCTCTTTAAAACAAAATATTCTGGCAGTCTTTCTGTTGTAAGCAGTTATTGGCTGTGTCTCTTAGGGAAAAAAAAAAAAAAAAAGTTATCTTGATTTCTTAAAAGAACTGGACTGGCAGCTACAGCTTTTTCAAGACAAAGTGGTCAATGACCTCATTATTTCTGCAAGGCCTAATCAGCAAAATAAGGAAAGAGAGAGACCACCAGTTGCTATAAGAAAGACATGAGTATTTCAGGACACATCTGTGCTGCACCCAGCAAGGTCCTCTGTGGTTGCTGCTCAGCCCTGCCCAAGGTAAGCCCTGTGGGGAAGCTCCCTCTCACCTGCCCTGCTTGTGTGTGCCCACTGTGAAGCTGAGCAAGGCAATGACAACTTTTCAGGCTCAGTGTTTGGCACAAAACAGGAATGAGGACACGCCATGCACGATGAAATACCATCCATAAATAGAGGTTGTGGCTGTTAGGAAGACAAGGTATAGGTGGAGCAGGAAACGGGAAAACAACAGACAACAGGAAGAAAATAATCATCTCCTGAGGGGAAAAAAAAAAAAGAAAATAGGGTATGTTACTTTCTTTTATGTAACTAGATGGGCGTGACTCTGGGCCAGACTGCTGTACAGCTGCTGAGTACTTGAAGGCCCCTTTCTGCAGGGATAGTACTTTATAACTCTCTACCCTCAGTACAGGATGGGTAACATCTCAAACATCAGTGACTCTCCCCAAGAGGAAGCAGTAATGGAGAGAGAGCCTTTGGGCTGTAGTCAGTGTGCCACACACTGTCATCTTCCCTGAGTCCCACAGAGCTGCTCCAATGGCTGAATGTTTACAGCTTTCTGTTCCCCCACTAAATGAGTGCTCTAACACATCTGTACCTTTGATATCAGCTAAAAAAATCACTGGGAGGAGAGAGAGAGGTGCTTTGTGTATGCAAACAAGGGACTTTGTGTATGTTTTTACAAGGGAATCCAGAACCTTTCAAGGAACTATACAAGACTCAAGATGTGCATGAGCCTCTTGGGTTTGCCAAGCTTTTACACTTCCTTATGTGTAAATCACAGCAAGCTTGTGATTTGTAGGCTGTGGCTGCTGTGTTGTCCGGAGCACTCTCATGGTCCAGCAGTTGTAGCTGCTGCCACTCCAGGAATTTTGGCCCGTGGAGATCTGAAAAGGCTTGAAAAGGCAGCAGAAATATGAATTACTGGGGAGCCCCAATGTTCACACAGAAAATCAGTGCAAGTCAGCTCTTCTGCACAACCTGCTCTCTGTGTGCTGTTGTGTACATTCTGCACAGCCACACTCCAGCCTACAGTCCCTCCTTTCTCTGCATGCCCTGGGGCTGCCTCTGCATCAGTTATTCTGTGCAAAGCTCTTCCCCACAGCATCTGCCACAGGGGCTTTCACACCTCTGCATTTTGCCCTCTGCTGCAGCTGCTCTGTTTGCCCTTCTCCCTTTGCACCAGCTATTCCATACCTCCATATATCCCAGACAGCAGCCTCACACTCTTTAAAGTTTCTTTTGACTGCTTGTTTTTTGTCTGAGGCTTTGTTGTTTTAGCAAAATTAAGGAAGAAGGAGGAATTTTTATTTCTTTCTTTCCAAGCTCTGGAGTCTGGAGTGCTGTGCTGAGCTGTTTCAAGCCCATAGCAAAATACTTGGGCACTGGGTTGATGAGAAGTTTATTTAACCACAAGGATACAGGATACAGGAGATGCTGTCTCTGTTTAGGCACCACCAGGCAGGAACTGGTGTTTGTAGACTTGCAAGGCTGAGGGTATACCCCAGGGAAAGTGTGTATGGGCAGTATGGGTGTGCTTTCTGTGCCCACATACAGTACTGAAGTCCAAGGATTGCTTTGAAGTAGGAAGAAAACTTTAAAAAGGAAGGAAAAGGGTGTTTACCATATTTTTTATTAATTTTATTCCCTTTATTTACTTGGCTAGTTATAATTGTTATAATCTTCATTTAATTGGACATGCCCAGGGAAAGCCTCCAAGTCTGTGTTTATTCTGATCCTTATTCCAACAGTAGCAGGTTATTTTTGCAACTGTGCTGTAAATAGTAGATTTGGTCTCTTATCCAGGCTTTCCCTATGCTAGTGTCAGCAGAGCAGCTTTCTGGACCTTCGCTGTAGAAGAACTTTGCAGGTGATGCCATGGGCTGTAAAACGAGGTGGAAAGAAAAACCTCTGTCACTTAAGGGAAGTTGCTTAGGAGACTTTGTTGGTTGGTCCAATTCTCCATCTTCTGTCAATCATTAGAGAAAATGTTATATTGCCTTTTTATACTCAAAATGTGGGTTATATTTACCAGCAGTGAACTAATGCTCAGGGAGAACAAAACACCACTACAGGAGAGAAACTCAGTCTGCAACAATCACAAACAAAAAAAATATTTGGGTTTTTCCTCTTTTGATTTTTATCCTCTGGGGAGAAAGGTCAGACAGTGCTGCCCCATCCTCCCTTCCTCTTCCCCTCCCTTTCTCTCTCCCCCAGAGACTGTGAGAATATGTCAATATTAAACAGCATTTTCCCTGTAAAGATCTCTGGAGAATAACAGAAGTAACTTCTTGCTCTTTCTTTGTTCAACAAACACCAGCCAGGACTTCACAAACAGCCAACTGAAGCATAGTCAGGAAAAAACAAGTTCTTAAAGACAGCAGTCGCCAAGGAAAATAATTGGGCAGCGTGAGGGTTTTGGTGACGCAGCTGCACAGCTGCTGAGTTCAATGACTCTCAATTGCCTCCATCTGAAGTTGTCTCCACTCTTCAAATGATTTTTACCTCCATTACTATAAATAGCAGGGCAGGATGATTTGCTGCTTGCAGCCCCTGAAGGATCTTGGGGAAAAAAACAAAACCACAACCAAACCCTAACAACTGAACCAACACACAACAAGAAAATAAAAAGCCTTCAAGTGTCTTCTCAGTAGGATCCTAAATATCAAGGAGATTGTGAGGTTCTAGAGTACAGTGCTAATGCTTTTGATGATGATTTTCTGACATCTTTGTTGGTCAAGAAGATGTGCAGCACTACAAGAGTCCTGCCAGCTGCTCTGTTCTCCTCCTGTAGGAAGAAGTCCCCCCAGGGCTGGTGTCACATAAACTGCTGGTCATCTCATCTGAGCTACCTGTCTAGGTGCCCCTTAGCATCAAGGGAAATAAACTTTCCTCTTCTCAGAACGTAGAGGTTCAAAACAAGCCCAAAAGTTTGTATGCTAAA